ATATGGTTCAAGAAGAGACACGTGGAATACTGGATGGATTTTCATTGACTCTGCTAGATGTAAACGATATGCAACTAGATTGATTTGTACAAAAATAAAAAATGGTCCGAGCCTTTGATAGTCCAACTTGTCACAAGGACGAGTGGTCTTGATATTGCAACAAAGTAGCCATATCTTATCACCCAAGACAAATGGTGGTTGTTTCTTTTGATAGACATTCGCATTGACCTTTCCTTGTTCTTGAGCCTCTTTTAACTGCACCTTCATCGTTGCATGTAGCTTTGATAAATGAATCGCCAAATCTTTCATAGCAAAATTATCAACTTTTGAGAAGTCAAAAGTATCAAGTCATGGATGATAATCATAATTAGCAAAGAAAGGTGTTTGTTTTGTAGAAAAATATATCATGTTATTGTAAGCAAACTCTACCAATGGCAAAAGAGTTGTCCAATTATCTTATTGGTAGTTAATAGTACATCTTAAATATTGCTCCAAAACTTGATTAACACGCTCCATTTGTCCATCAATTTGAGGATGGAATGTCAAAGATAGTTTTATATCCACTTTTAGAATCTTGAAAAGAGTCCGCCAAAATCTTGATACAAATTGAGTTCTCCTATCTGATATAATATCCTTGGGTAATCCATGATAGCGATAGATATTGTCAAGAAAGAGCTTAGCTATTTCTTCACCTATGATAGATTTTGTACATGGTACAAAATATGCCATCTTGGTAAAATGATCTACTATCACGAATATAGAGTCATAAGAACCTGAGATTGGAAGATCCGTGATGAAATCCATAGAAACAGAAGACCATGGTTGTTTTGGAATGGATAATGGCTGAAGAAGTCTAAAAGGTCAATGATAAGGAGTTTTTGATCTTGAGCAAATATCACATGATTGTACAAAATATTTGACTGCCTTCCACATTTGAGGCCACCAAAAATCCCTACATATCAGCTCTTAAGTCTTATTATATCCAAAAAGTTCTGTTGTTGGAAAGTCATGACGAGCTTGAAGAACACGTAAACGTGCTTCTCCTTCTGGAACATATAGGCGTCCTTCAAAATAGAGTAGGTTGTTCTTGAATTGAAATTTAGAGGGATCATGAGATTTAGAAGAATTATTCTTGATATCATCAACAAGAGGATCTGAAGACATACTTAACTGGACTTACTTAAAAAAAGTTAAATCAATAGTCAATGTTGATTTTATTGCTCAAAGATGAAATTGTTCTAGCTTCAAGAGAACCGTTCTTTGTTGCTCAAAAGCTGCATTTCCTTCTTTTGGTACAAGATAAGAACGTCTAGACAAGGCATCGGACAAACCTTGTTGTTTTTCTGGCCGATAAGTGATGATGAACTCGAATCTTGATAAAGACATGCTCCAACGAGCTTGACGATGATTTAATACACGTGCTGACATAAAATATTTGAGATTCTTATGATCCGTATACACGGTGACTCGTGCTTTTGTACCTATAAATACGGGTTTAATTGAAGTGGACTTATGACTCTCTACTTGATTAATTACACTATTAGTTATACTTTTAGACAAAGTAAGAGTTCAGAAAATCCAATCTATTTGAGGGTTGTATTTTTTTAACTACAATAAATCTAAAATGACTGGATTAGAGGGAGATCTAATGATATTAAATACTACAAAGCTATTATGACCATTGATTATTACTTCTATAAGAAGGATTTTGTGAGTAATATCTCCAAAAGACAATGGACGACCATCTATGACTTCTACATGAATAGCTTTAGTTTTCTTTACTAAAGATATGCTACATCTTTTAGTAAATTCTTCATCTAAGAAACATGCCGAGGCTCTTGAATCTAACAAGGCAGAGGCTTTGTAATATTTAGGTCCTAAAATAACATTTAATGTAAAACAAGAAGAGGGCTCTGAGGAGAGAATAGGACCTTTACTAGATGTTGTGCAAGGTTCCAGCCGCACGGTCTCTATTGTAACTGGACAAACTCGTTTTTTGACATATTGTCTTCTTTCACAACCATACTCCTCATTTTATATTTGGGTCATTTTTTTGGACAATGTTGAGCAGTGTGCTTAGGTTCTCCACAATATAAACATAATCCTTCTTGACGACGACGAGTCTTTTTTTGCTTAGTAAGAGGATTGAAACGTACTGCATCAATTTGCATATCCTCAACTTTTGAATATATGTGTTGAAGAGGTGTTGGTATTGCCATTGAATTATAGTAACATTGAGGTCCACTTGTACGGTTTTCAGATCGAAATTCAAAAAGGTGATTGTCGCTCTTCACAGCAAAGTCAATTGCTTGACTCAATGTTTGAGGATCAGATAAGTTGAGCATTAATTTTTTTACCTCATATTATAATCTATAGAGAAATTGGCTAATAAGTGTAGCATCATCTCACTTGATATCAGTTACAAGTTGTCAAAATTGTGAAGTGTACAATGTCACTGATCGATTATCTTATCGTAAAATATAGATATTATTAGTTGCAACACGAATTGCATCATGTTCTCCATACATGGATCAAAAATCTACCAAAAATACCTCTAAATTATCCAATATTAGATCTCGTCGTTCAAGAAAAGATGAAAACCATGATAGTGCTAAACATGAAAGAAGCATACCAATGAATCTAACTTGTGATCTTGGAGTTGGATAGCTTTAGAGTTGAAGTTCAATGACAAGTTACACTTGATCGATAAATCCTCGAAACTTAGATGTGGTACCATCAAACTTTTCGGATAAGACAATTCTTGGTTCTCTAACACTGGAAGGGCGTTCCACCATAGGAGAAAGCACATGGTTTGATGCAGATGTTGAAGCAGCTCCAACCATTTCTATAACTTCACTCCGTGCCAATCTTGTTGCTCCTTGTGGTAGTAAATTAAGTTGATGCATCGCAAGCATTAATCCCCTCAATTGTTCTTGCATTTGTGCCATTATACTCTTCATTTCAACAAGTTCTACCATGATAATACTTAGAAAAGAGAAGATATCTAATATCGCTCAAGACAAATAGAAAAGAGGACTTGAAAACAAAGAAAATACTGAGGAAAATATCAGTTTAGAAAAGGATAATCCGCAACTTCTAATATGCTTATATCTTATCAAGAAAAAGAGGTAATCCACTCTTAATCAAGATTAGACAAAGCTCTGATATTATAGGTGTACTCTTGTCAATCTGTCAAGGACAAGAACTTGATGAAAAAGCAATTCAGACAAGTGAGCCTTCATGCAAAGAAAGGTAACAAAATATAAATAAACAAGTATGTATATTGAAAGAAAAACTAGAATGGCTATTGCCAAAAGAAAAGAAAACTAGAGACCCTTGAAACTAGACTGGAAGCAAGAAAGGAGTTGACAAGAGTGAAGAAGGCTTCACTCTTGTCTCTATATATACTATCTAATTAAGGGCTACATGGCGACGTTCTATAGGACCTCCGATATGTGTTGACTTTGTACGACATAAGCCTTCACTTACAAGGTAAGTTTTTTCTACGTGTGGGCCACATAGTTAACTTGATCTTCAAGCTAACAACATGTGTGGCACATGGCCAACTTGTTGACCATGTTTCTAATCCAAAAAGTCAATTAAAGACACCTATGAAGTCAAAGCAGCGTCCATGAAGCTTCTAAGAAGCTTTCATATTAAATACTATAGAATTAACTTACTTTTACCTACTTTTATTTACTTCCATCTATTTATATATGTAATTACTAGCTTACATGAGTATGTCCATGACAATATATATATATATATATATATATATATATATATATATATTTTATATTTATATAATTATTTTATTTTATTTTAATAATAAAATTTTATATAAAAATGAATAATATATAAGCCATAATAGTGGCTAACATAATATAGTTATAAATTTAGTATAAATTATTGTTATGTTTTGAAAATATACTTAATATTCTTTATTTGTTTAATAAAGCTATATTATTTGTATTCAAATTTTATGAATATAGACTCAAAAAAGAAAAAATATGACATTTTCTATAGATTATCTACAAGCATTTAGATAATAATATTTTTTGAATTATTTTATATGAATTATTATATTTCTAGCTATATTTAGTTTTAAAAAAACCTAATAATAAGTTCATTGAGAAAAAACTCTATTAAGAAGAAAAATATCACTGCTATCAAATAAGATATTTTTTTAAAAAATATTTATTTGGTAATTAATTTTTAATAAAAAGAAAAATTTATAAAATATACAAAACTAATAGTAGTTGATACATTAGTATAATAAATACATAAAAATTCCTAAATAATATATATTTAAATACATCATGATCTAATTATGCTTTTAAATATGATAAGAAGATTGCTTTGATTTTGTTTTCAAATTTTTTGTTTCTACTACTTACAACAATATTATAATTTCATATGATATATATATATATATATATATATATATATATATATATTTCAATTTTTTTACTTTTTAATACATATTGGTATTATCATCTTTATTATAATAGTTAAAAATAACATAAAAGATTCTAAAAGATGGTATTTTTACAAGTTGTGTAATGAAATTTAATTGAGTTATAATAATATGAGTATATATTTAGTAAATATTTAGTAAATATTTCAGAATTGAATTTTATTTTTTTCTAAAATTAAAAGGCATTTTTTTTTCTAAATTTTTTAAATTTAAAATAAAACAGTATATTTCAAATAATAAGCCATGTCTTTATGTAGTAAGAATATACTTTAGATGACAATTGTATACACCTATTATCATATTTAAGATTACCTTTCTTATACTTCAAACCAGTTCATGTTTACTTATTAAATTTCTTTGTAATATCTACATTAAATAAAGAAAATCTATAATTATAACAAAGCAAATATTTATTTATTTATTTATAATAGAAAAATCAAAGTAATATAATCATGAGAAGAACCTTTTATGAGGTATCTAACTATTTCTTCTGAATATTTTTTACTTAAATTTAATTTAATTTAAAGAAACGTTATATTGTTTTTATTTGTGTATATATATATATATATACATACATACTCCCATACATTATTCGTGGGTCGAGATAGTGAAATCCTGTGGTCGAAAGAGCATCGCAAAATCGAAGTGCAGACAAGTGAGTATGCGGAAGATGAAGCTGGCAAACAAGTACGCAGGCATGCATGCTTGCATTAGCCACCACCACCACCAGCATTCGGCGAAGGAAATTTATGTAAGAAAATGCACCCGAAGAGCGCTGGTAAGTAATTGTTTGTGCAAGACCTTCCCTCCCCTCCCTACTGCTATGACAACTACTACCACTACGAAGTTTATTATATCTGAGTCCCCATTATGAGCAGTAGCTGCATCATCATCCAAGTTGCAACAACACTAAGACGATAATGATGCTGATGCCACTAACCTAATTGCCAGCCTAACAGTCCGGCAAGGAGCACATAATCCGTTTCTAGAAGCATAGTGCGATCCGATGAACATGGCTGGGGAGGGCACAAATAAATCTGGAGAACAGGGGGGGAGGGATTGAGATTGAGTGCACGCACCACGTGGATTTCATGGGTAGCCGAGACTGCCCACTTGGCGATGCATTGCCAGTCCGGAGCCAATGTCGATGTCGTGTCACACATTTCAACATACAGGTGACGCGGCTGGGATCGGCACACCGGAGCCCAGACTCTTTCGGCGCTTTCCGGGGATATATGATCGACGCCTGGGCTTTCCGGGCGACAAGCGAGGGATTTCCTTTTTAGGGGTCAAGGCCTGCTGCTGACCATATCAGGGATCAGGTCCAATTATGATCGACATTCAACTATTCCCGAAGATGACAAAATAGTCCTGCGAAATTGGGATGAATGATTGGTTGCTCAGAAAAACAACAACTAGTTTTTAGTCTGTGTGAGGAAATAGACCGTTGTTTTAGTGCACCATTCTGGATCCCCCCCTCCCCCACCACCTGCTCCTCCTCCTCCTCTCCTGTTCTTTGGATTGGAGCCCTCGTTCGACATTGGACCGCTCCTCGCTTTTTCTTATCAGATGCCTTCGAACCGATTTTTCTCCGGCATGCGAATCCTTGCACACGCCTTGGGAGCCGTTTCTGTTCGTTGTCGTCGCGTTGGCGATTCTGCATACAAAAACACTGCAGTTGGGCTGTTTGTTGTTCCCACCTCTCCCCGTCTCCCTTCCCCACGTCCACTCCTCTCACACTCCACCGCATCGTTCATCGCTCCCCATTTTCTTCCACTTTTGTTTCTTTTGTTTCTTCTTCTTCATCATCATCTTGCTCCTCTACCCTTACACGGTTCTCCCTCTGCATCACTCCGACACATCAGTCACTGCAGCTCACAAACACCCCATCAAACTCTCAAATTGCCATCACACACACATTCACCAGAACTCACCAATTAGCTAAAGAATTGAACCAAGGTTAAAAAAATCGCAACTTTTACAGCAACCGAATCAAGAGGCGAAACTCCTGCTAAAATTTCTCTAAAGTTTGATCACCTTGATAGAAGAATACGAAGTAAGGCAGGGCTCAAGGATTTCAAAGCTGTAAGAGAGTGAAATTGGTTTTTTTAAAATTTGTTTTTCTATATTATATATAGACACATGCAGGTTTGGTTTCTTTACGTCAGGACAAGGTGGGCCATGTCCAGGCATTTTTCTGAAATGGTTACTTCTCATCTTGGACAATGTGGAAAATTAAATATAATAATAATAATAATAATAGTAATGCAAAACAGGAATAGAAGGAAGAAGAAGAGGAGGAACCAAGGTACTCAGTGAACGTGAAACAACATTACGGCTTAAGCTATGTATTCGTACTACTGCTGATTCGTGATTTTAGAGTAATAAAGAATGGGTTTGAAACAGTCATGGTACATTCTAAAAGAAAAAAAGGACAAAACTCAAAAACTCCCCATGCGTAAAGGTTTTTTGTCTATTAGTGGAAAGATGCGATGATTATACGAATTAAGAAATGCATCGTAAGATAATCTATTCATCTTATCAGGTTGCAAGTTCGCGTAATTACCAAATCAAAGAGTGGAATTGCATTCTTAATTATTCCAAATCCAGCAATCGAAGGACACGGTTTCACCAAAGAGGATTAATTAATTGTGAAACACTGAAAGGCGGCATTTTTCCAAATGAAGAAGCTAGTTTTAGAAGGTGAAATCGCCGAAGGCGAAAATCTATCCTAACGAACAAACAAAAATAAAAATCTCACTTTAATGATATTTTATTTTATTTATAGAAAATCGAGACTGTTGGGAGATATCCACTTGAAGGGCAGTCATGATTTCATCCATCCATAAAACTAAATATCGTGCATCCATAAGATAATAACTTTCATCCATTTCGGCGGGGCCCCCAAGGAGCAGCTTCGAATTGTCTCCGAGCAAAGGGAGGGCTCCCACTCCCCATGTGTCGATGCTCCCTGCGCCTCGCGGCCCTCGGAATTCGGCCCCTTTGCATTTAGGCTTCTCACCCGTGCTGGCCTGGTCACGCTTCTCCCTCTTCAGGAGAATCGCAGCGAAGTTTGAATCACGGATTCAATTCGTCGGGACCTTTCTAAGCTCAGATAATCTGAGGGAACGGGGCCAATGCACCTCTGAGGGGCCTGGGCGCGAGACACTTGCGGCTTCTGTGAGTGTCATTGCAGTTGATTGACATTTACCATGCCTGACAGCAGGAGTTAATGCATTTCCTGACAAGCGAAGGGGGACGACGAGAAATTGCGCTGTTTGCCCGCTACGCTAAGGGATTTGGGCTTTTCTGTCCCTCGCATGCAGAGACTGGGTCTCTTTTCGCGGATTCTCGGCTACTCGGTGACTGCGTTTTAGGAGTATTGCTCGCCGCGGGTCTAAAATGGGACACAGGCACAGACTCAGAGGGAAAAAGGAATAGTACTGTAGCCGATCGAAACGTTTACGGATTGATTGAAAATGTCCGAAAATTATTGAAAATTCCGAGGGAGCAGAGTTTCTTCTGATTGTCTGAGCTCAGAAAAGTCTACTATGTGATGCCAGAAGCGCTGGACGAGGGCAGGGATTTGATAGGGGGGGATTCTGATGGTTGCGCATTGCAGAGAGAGATCGGCTCCCCATGCTGACACCAGCGCAAGAAAGCTGACAGTAGTGTCTCTTTGTGTGTGTGTCTACAAGAGAAGCGCATGCGATTCAGGAAAGTTGTGGGAAATAGCTTGCGAATCGAATAGTGTTACTGGTAGTAATTGCTTACTCAGTTTGCGATGTTTGCAAGCATGCAGATTCTCTCCTCACGCTGAATTGTTGGAGTCAGATGGATGGCAATTGATAGGAATAGTCTCTTTGTTTTGTTTGTGGAAAAAGAAATTTTAAAAAAAGTGGGTGAACATAGCCGTGGGTTGATAATGAACAGCACGGCAGGCTACGGGGAAGGGCCAAAGAAGACGCCCGAGACTGAACCAGACTCCGTTAGCAGCTCCCAGTCGCCACAGAGAATTGTTGAATCGTTGTCCCGCTTGAAGTTGGGACGTTGAGCATGCGTGTACGCGCAGTAAGTGACTCCATGTACCTCGACTCGCGGCCACATCATTGACACCGACTGCATAACTCCTTCGCCTACACACACACACACACACAACAAACAAAAAAAAAAAAAAAAAAAAAAAAAAGTGAACAAATTGTCACACTTGCAGACTGAGCTGGCTGGGACACAGGACGCATCCTGGAACAATTAAAGAATCGAAGGACAGTTACTACTCAGAGAGACAAAATGTGCATTCATTTGGCAGTCTTACCGTGAGTAATACACAAAATGTTCTCGTTAGGAAATCTGTTGGCAATCTTCTGAAAAGTGGAAGTATATCGATTCCGGGCATCATCCAAAGTCTCCTTACCCAGAGGTAACTGCACAATTGAACAGAACGTATGACAGATTAGGAGATTTTCAAAACAAAAACAAAAACACAAAAACACAAAAAAAAAAAACACAAAAAAAAAACAAAAAACAAGAAAACTAGTTGCAAAGAAATGACTTCAGAAATTCCTCCTCCAGCAAGTGAGAAAGAGGCAAATTAGCCTACACCTTTTTCCTGATTGGTTGGAAAGAGGTGTCGTGAACTCCTTCTGGCAGCATCATGTAGAGATCAACCAGGTCTAAGGTCCAAGGAGAGAGCGAGTTCTTGTCTGCAGCTTCCGAAGGATAAGGAACCCCTTGCCTATTCATCATTTCCGCCAACCCACACTCAATCGATGCCTTCTCACACAAAAGATGTGGACCGCATTTTAGTACTCAGAAAATGATATGCCTGTCCTAACATGCCCAACAACATTCCCGCTGTTGACATGCACACCTAGTCTCTCCGTCGACCGACCAAATGAATAGGAATGGGTTCAATTGTAAACTCAAAAAGCTTGCGATCCAGGCGGACTACAAAACCAGTACCACTTACTGATGACTCGATAACAATCACTTGACGATGAAAAGGAAACAGCAGAAAGGCGAGATGTAACCGGCGCACACCTTGATTGTAGAGACATAGGGCGACCCATTGCCTTTTTCACGCATCTCAAGACTCGATGGCAGCATGCACAGTCCAGCAATGATCTCAACAGCCGTCTGCACGCACCTCAAGGAAGGTGACATGACCACGCGGGTGATATTCCAGTCCTCCAACTTCATGTTTCTACCCACTGTCCATGCTTGCAGTTTGCCCTTATCTGTGAGCGGGGGATCCCAAGGACGCGCCGCCTTCACAGCCCCAGGTTGTACTTCCAGTTGATTCAGTTGCTCGCCATGTCGCAACACAAATAAGTTTTGCACAAATGGGTCCGGAATTGTATCCATCAAGGAGTAATCGTTCAGCGTGTGGCCCTTGGACGAGCCACTACCCCGATTATCCTGCACGACAAACAGAAAATCACAGTCACCACCTTTCAGCTGCTGGAGCAGATATTCCTGTAGCTGCAACCCTTGAACAATCGCTTGCAGGTCCGACAACAAAGGTCAAAGCTGAAGGGCCGTTTGCGACCGGGTGAAGAGTGGGAAATCTATGACCATGCGAACCTACCAGCTTGTACTACGCCTGCCGGATCAGCTACGAGGGATCCTCTAACTCAAACTACCATGAAATATCAACAAATGCAGAGAGACACTCTAATCGTACTGACTACAACCACTCCGCATACGTCACTGCTCTCTCTCTCTCTCTCTCTCTCTCCCTCTCTTTCAACACGCTCCAAATCCAGCAACGACGGCCGAAGTCCATACTTGGGGATCGTTTTTCAAGCAACAATAACCTGATTCGGACGCAATCAGCTCTTGAAGAGCACTTCACAAATGATTGGACCAATCACAACTAAGCCAACAACACCTGAAAGGATCGGCCATTCTGTAAGGATTCAAACTCGACAATACCCATAGCATTCACATCTTCTAAGCAACTAAGCAAGTTGACACACGTAGCGTCGTACAGATTCTTCGCTTGAGAGCGAGCATGGTGGATGGAGCAGTGCGCCCACCTGTAAGGCAGGCATGAAGTACTCTCACAATACGTTGGCCCAGTTGATAAACACCACTCCCCAACTCTAGCTAGATTGCAGTAACAGAGTGCGAAGAAAAAAACGACGACGGTCGCGTCAGCTACCGTCTGCAGAACCTCACGACACAGAGAGACTAACAACTTCACCGACAATGAGGCGACCCGCATTCAGTTGTGCACATCATCCCACAGATCTTCATCACCCTCCTACAAGCCCTGTTGCTCATCTACCGCGACGGCTGCCTCCTGGCCACCATGTATATGGATCACGCGCCACTAGAACAATCCGAGAAAGCGAGACTACGTCTTTCCCTCCGCGACGTCCTCCAGCCTGCTCCACTCCAACTCAAGGAGCGTCTCACCAGTACTACTACTACGACTACTTCCACCACAACAACCCCTGTGAATGATCGCCACCCCACCCCCACCCCCACTCCAAATCTCGTTCTCATATACAACACTATGCATGTGCCACCTCCTACCCTCTACCCCGCAAACTGCACTCCAACTAACTCCACCTCTCCGCAACTACTCCAAATCCTCCCCCTCCAAACCGTGCGAGCTCCGAAACGGCGTCAGCGCTGCTTCAAAGATGAACATGCAACGAGCGAGGCTATGATGAAGCGCTAGAAGGTCGGGCCACACCGCTCCAACGGAACAGCGATCGGCCTGTTCAAGTGCGGCCCTTTTACAGGAGGCCCCCTACTCCGCACCAGGGGGGGGTGGGTAGGGTGGATGGGGTACTCCAAATTGGATGAATGAATGAATGAATGAATGAATGAATGGGTTGATGAATTAGTGGATGATCATCCGCGCGAGGACCTCCTCCTCCTGCTCTGCCTTCCCCGTCGTCTCAGTCAAATTTGTACTAAATACAAAACTGATGAAACAAATGTCAAAGTTCATTAAAACTTTGGCAACTAAGAAAGTGCAATGATCCCTGATCTTCAACATCTAAAAGCGGAAAGAAGAAGAGAAGAAGAAGAAGAAGAAAAGCAGACTCCAAAAACATTTAAAACTTGGAAGGAAAGAGTTAGAAGAGACATAAAACCAATGCGGAGACATAAAGGGCGATTATTCAGAATGGGCTTGCAAGGAAATGGACCACAACTGATAATTCTGATGCGAACCCAGTATCAAAAAATTTGCCATGCACCATTTTAATGAACTAATGAATAAATGGGGCACTCGTAACTTATTCATATATATATATATATATATATATATGAATATCTATATACGGTGGAGGGCTGCCATGTGGAATGAATATCCATCCTGAAGGAGAGAGAACCACACCAAGTGAGAGATGTGATTGGATGAATGAATGGTAAGTTATCATATTTACTTCTTTATCTTTCTTTCTCTTTTGTATCTTTTCAGATTCTAGGGCCCCTCCACCGCAGCAGCAGCATTTGAGCAGAAGCCAGCCAGTCAGAATGCGGTGCTTTTCTGGAAACCATCATCATCATCTTCATTGTTATTAATATTGATATTATTATATGTTTATTATTGTTACATGGTTTATTAATGTAATGAGTTAACGGTGGGGGGGGGGGCTGCTTGATCGACCAACGCTGGACTTTCCAGCGCTGGTTTGCTTGTTCTGTGCCCCCTCCTTTCACTGCAACCCCCGACAGAGGGGGGGCGGGGCCCGGTGAGCAACTGTTGTTTTTGTTTCTGTGCTGATTTGCCGTCTTGGGTAGCAGTGCCTTACAAGCGAGAAGCTGCGTAATGTAAACGGATACTAGGAAGTTGATATAACGGAGCATGGGGATAGGCCATGTGATGGCTGAAGCATTTGCACTGACGAGTCGCTCACGCACTGTGACCAAGCGCTGCAGATTCTCGGAAAAGCTTGGGCCCTACTCATTCGGGGATGGCCCCGCCCGCCACTTTCGACGAATCCCCAGCTCTGACTGAATCTGTGCATTAGTTCGAAGCGTTGGATGAGCCAAGGCTCGAATCCATTGCTCCGCCAAACTCGTCGTCCTTTCAGTCCCAACTGGAATCCTCTCCTCCGTCACACCGTCCTAATCACAGCAGCAGGTTTGCCACTGTTGCCCCGCTTCTTGTGCTGCTGCTGCTGGTTGCAGTCGGCGAGTATCAGGGACCGGTTGGTTCCGCATTTAGCGAATGCGTGAATAAATTTAGAAATTGTTTCTCTATATATACACACCAATGCACATTGAAAATATATCTATATTTATATATATAAATAAATAATTGCCTCTGCTTTTCAGTCTACATCCAGAAGGTGAAAAGTGAAGGAGAAGGAAGAGGACGGAGCGCTGGGGGATGAAGCTGTGGTGAAGAGAGAGAGATTGCGGGGTTCGGAGTTCGGCGTTCGGGCTGCGAGGTGCAGGGCTCCGTGTGTTGAGGGGAGAAAGAAAGTGGGGAGGGGAAGGGGAGGGGTGTGCAGGAGGATCGTTAGGATATATATCTATAGCAAATTGATAGGTTGACTTAGGTTTTTATTAAAATGACCAGATTTCCTCACTTAACCTAGTTCAGATGTAGGGGTCCTTAATAAACATGTATGTTCGTTTGTGTACTGCAAAGACAAATTTGAATCTTCCTTATAAGTGGGTTATTTTTGCTTACAGTTCATATATTTTCATTCATAATATTTGTTCACAATTCATTTCATACTTCATTACATGTGAACTGTGAATGAACTCATCAGTTCATCAACTTTTCTGTTTACAATGAATAAATGCACCATTAATTATCATTTTTTAAATCAAAAAATATATGTAACAAATGTAACAAAGTAGTTGAAGAATTTTATGTTCCTTCACTATGCAGCAATGGTTACAACTATGCAACTACAATTTCATAACTAGAATCCACATCAAGCAATCAAATCATAGTTACCCGTGATTAATGCCTTGCTTTCATGGTTTGTTTTGTTTATTTTGTTGTCTCTCACATGTGAAATCTATGGCCTCCAATGACCTTGGTAGATGATGTATCTAGTGAATATTAGCTACCAAGCAACACACACTAAGCAACAACAACACTAGTAAATTTAGTCACATCTTGAGCAAATCTATGCAACACTAGAAGAAAGAGAATCTCACTTCAATCATTTTGTCCATCATCATGGATTTACTCTACCACAATTGCACAATCACACATTCTTCAATACAAGATATACTTGAATTGTCTTTCTTTGATGCATCCATCAAGATGAGGACACTACTAATGCTATGAGTTAAACCACTACATCTAGATGATATTGGTGTCCCTTCTAGATTAAACTACAACGTACCACATGGAAAGAGGGCATGACATAGATGTCTTATATGGTAAATGTTGACCAGAACCATAGCCTAGCCATTGATACAACAACCTATCCATCAAGAAGAAATTTATCAATTGATGAAGTTGAAATACTTTAGAGTTTGTTGAATGTTGGTACTTCTCTCCAAATCGTTCATGCTAAGGTGATGCAATTAAACCTCAACAATAGGTGAACCTAAACATACATATATAACCTTTGAGATGCTTTAAAATGCGAAGAACTTCGCAACCACATTCCTTAGGAAGCACTCTTAGATGAATTAGAGAGCAACAACATCTTCTATACAAAGAAATTGGATAATAATGATAGGTTTTTTCACTTGTTCTTTGCACCTTCCAAGGTGGTTGAACTTGCATGCTCATACAACATGTCAACATTATCTTATTAGACTCGACATACAAGATGAATTGCTTTTGAATACCATTATTGTATGTTTCTACCAATACAAGTATAAATCACCCTTCTTTGCTACGCTATTACTTCATACAACCAAAAAAAGAAGACAACTATATTTGACCTCTTATTTAGATACGATCTATATTTATATCAATACTTCCATACATTTTTGTCACCAATTGTGAACTTTCACTAATGCATGCAATTGACATTGTATTTTCAAATATTGGAATACAAAACCTACTCTACTTCTAGCATATTGAAAAAAATATATTATCACATGTTAAGCCTATTATTTGAGATGCTACCAATTTTGATGCTTTTGTAATTGCATGGAAGGCAATGGTTTATACAACCAATATTGAGAAGTACAAGGAAGCCTTGAATGGTTTAGAATGTGACTTTGACAATGTTGTTTTGAGATATGTCCATGTTGTTTAGTTGTTTTCATATTATACAAACTTCATGAAACTTTAAATTAATCACATTTGCCATTATAGCCATTATACAATATTAAAAGTTGAGGGTTTGCATGGTACAATAAAAGATTATATCACAATATCCATGGACAACATTAACAATTTATACAAAAAGCTTAGTTTGGCTATCAATGCTCAACTAGTTGAAATTCAAGAGAAGTTTATTTTGGATACTACATGCTACGTGACCATGTATTCCAATTCTATTTAGTGCAAGGTCATATATAAAATTTTGTATTGTGAATTGAAAGCAGATACAAATGAATTCTAGTAGGCACAAAGTATATCAATATAAACTACACCTTGTTCATGTATAATTGCATTTTCAATGGATATGCCTTGTTTACACACATTCTAGAGATTAATACAAGTTGCCACAATTTTTGAAGTTGATAATTTTGATTGCCATTGGTGGCATGAACTATCAACAGCTATAATTGCACTATCTATAATTCTACGTGTTATATTGGAATATACTTGCAAAATGTATGATTTTGTATAACTTAATTAATAGCATATACTTATAGATGGAATTATGAGTATTTTAGAAAGTGTGACCAAACTTGTCTCCTATCCATCATGCATTGTAGTTTAAGATAGACTTGCAAATACTTGAAGAAATCCTTTATTATTTAAACATATTATAAAAAATCTATGGCAATATAGATATGAGTCACTCAATTAACTCACTAAAATATTTAGCATAAAAAATGTGCTTATGGTGCTTAAATTCATCGATTTTATCAGTAAATGGTAGAAGTTTTAGTAGATATAGAAAAATGGATCCCTAATAGTGGACATGCCACCTAAGATAGAATTTAGTACAACAGATTCTATAAAGAATATATTTTTAGTTACCTAATATTAAATGAAGGATTAAAGAAAGTAATCTTTGTAAGAAAAATTATATATATATATATATATATTAATAGTCTCTAAAATAAATATATATAATAATAGATAAATTAATAAATAAAAAATAAAAATAAGGTTAAATAAAGAATATATATATATATATATATATATATATATAATATGTAGTAAAAAAAAGAGATAGAAAATTTAAAAAGAATAATAGAAGAGAAAAAAGTAGTTTAGAGAGAGAAAAATAAATAAATAAATAAAAATAAAAATAAAAAAAGAAAGAAAGAAAGAAAGAAAAAACTACATGTATAGAAAAAATAAATAAAAATGTAATCAAGATAGGATAAGAAGCTACTCCGGAATGGTGGTAGCTTCTTTGTTGATAGGGATCTGGCCACCTAGATCCTTCTTACTTTTGTTTTTTGTTTTTTTAATTTTTTTATTTTTATCCAATTTTAGATCTCCAATTGTTTCAAAATTCTTCCAAAATTGCTCTTTTTATAAGTGTATGTGGTTACAGTAGAAAACTACATCAAGTTTTTAGGATGGTCAGTGTTCCATGTCTTGGAGTGCAATGGCAATGAATTGCATAGAAGATCATTGTGGCTGTTATTTTGGCGGTACTTGTTTTTCTC